AGCCCATTGTGTAGATTTGTGCTTAATTACAAACAAACAAGCGGAATTAAACTAAAAAAAGATTAATTGGATTTGAATAATAACGTAAATAAGGAAAACCTGCATTTGACAAAAGATAAGTTAAAACAAACTTTACTTGAGGTTGAACTGTAGTACAGTAAAATAAATTAGAATGTGCTTGATCAATGTGAACTGAACGAGAACTAACTAGCACGTTTTGATTCCTCCAAAACAGAAACTAATCTACCTGAAAACGTCAAATTTTGTTGATAGGTCACCTTCTCTTTATTACCGACCAATCATCAAGTTGGCTCAAAAGTATCTGGAAATATCTCTGATCCACGTGACTGTTGCAGAGAAGTCCTACATACTTTAAGTCAAGTAGGACACAATATAACTATCCAATAAACCAATAGATACATTTTACAATTAATCATTATTTTCTATGGAAACTTAACGCCTTACACTGAATATAACTCACGACATCGACTCAACTTAACATGCTCCGAATTAGAACTTTAAAAAAAAATGTAGATCTGAGGTATATAGATGTAAAGTATATATACTAAGATAAAGTAAGATATTTGGTATTTGCATACTACAGTTTACATGCTAGATGAACAAGGAGGGTGTGTTATTGCTGCAAGGTTTGTTTAAACGTAAAAAATATACGACTGCAGTATTCAAACACGTGATTTTCGCCGTCTCAGTATCATTTATCAGCTACCAACCTGCGCAATCTTTATTTTCTAGCTTGAGACTTTTAATGGAATATTTAAGAGTCACGCGCTTAGAATGTGAGAGCTATAATCTGGTCTCCTTGTTATTTTTAAAGTAATTTTTATATTATGATCAGTAAAGTTCACGTGGTCAGTTGATTAAGTTAATTAAGCACAAAGCTACACAATGAGCTATCTATGCTCTATCTACCACGGGTATCAAAATGTTAGAACCAATGGTTTCTGTTGTGTGCAGTTATACAAAACTGTTATGTTTGTGTTCAAAACCTAATAACAAGCCTTATCTCAATTTCTGTCTGTCTGTCGGTAACGCTCGCGAACGTGTTTTTGTTCGCTTTTCACGGGAAAACGAGTGCACCGTTTTCATCAATGTCGACCATATGGAGTTCCCAGTCTGCTCCATTTCAAGGAATGCTCCGATGGCCCAAGTGATCCGAGAATGCTCACTCATAGTGTGGGACGAATGCACCATGGCCCACAAACTGAGTATTGAGGCATTAGACTGCACCTTAAAGGACATAAGAAACAACAACAAGACTATGGGGGGGGAGTCACGGTGTTGTTCTCTGGAGATTTCAGACAGACTCTGCCCGTTGTGGTGCGTGAGATGCGGGCGGATGAGATAAATGCCTCTCTAAAAAGATCTTTTATGTGGTCGACCATTCAGCATCTCTCCTTAACAGTAAATATGAGAGTTCGTTTTGGGGAAGAACAAGGGGTTGAGGAGTTTTCTGAGGTCCTTTTGAAAGTTGGGGATGGGACATTGGAAAACACCGATGGTCTCATAAACATCCCTCCTTCACTCGGCACAATCGTCGAATCACAGGAACAACTGATCGACAGTGTTTTCCTAGGGGTTCATGAACTGCTCAACTTGGAAAGTGCCTGGCTCTGTGATTGTGCCATCCTCACGCCCACCAATGAACAAGCAACGGAGATCAACAAGAAGGTGATGTCTCTCTTCCAGAGCGAGGAACGAACGTATAAATCTGTTAACACAGTTCTTAACCAGGACCACGCCGTTCACTACCCGGCAGAGTTCCTCGACTCAGTAACAGCACCTGGATTACCTGCCCACGAGCTCACGCTTAAGGTCGGAGCTCCAATAATACTCCTTCGCAACTTACACGCTCCCAAGTTGTGCAACGGAACGTGGCTTCGGGTTCGTAGTCTGCCAAGATACGTCATCGAGGCAGACATCCTCACTGGCTGTGGTGCTGGAGAGCCAGTCTTCATACCGCGCATCCCCTTGATCCCAAGCAACTACCCGTTTGAGTTCAAGCGGCTGCAGTTCCCGGTCAGCGTCTGCTTTACGATGACTATCAACAAGTCACAGGGCCAGACATTGTCCACTGCCGGGGTAGAGCTCAGTGGATCTGACTGCAGCTATATGTAGCCTGCTCAAAAGTCAGATCTTCTCGCAGCCTATTTATCCATGCCCCAGGTGGACGTACTTCCAATGTTGTCTAACAAGAGGCTCTTCGGTAAATAAAACTAATTTTTTCACAGATGTGTGATACACTACAAACACACAAGTACGACTCATCACAATTTGACATTTTCCGTTTTTTCTAAGTGACGCAGTTAACACATGGTCCACAGTATCTTTTGTTAACTTATATTTAATTGTTATAATAATGTACAATAAAAAATGTAAAATGTAATGTAAATAAAGTACAAGTAATTTGTTTGTTAATTGTTAAATTAATGTATTATTTATACACACAACCCGTAAGAAGGACGGGTACACAGCTAGTAATATATATTAGTTAAACATTTTGGCAATATGGCGAGTACTTTCTAAATTTAAATGTTTATCTTACACGAGAGCTAACAAACAATACGAGCGCACAGTATTGTTCTGTACGACAACAAATTCATTAATTCTGTTCAAGATAAGAAATACTTTGATTAGTACGTGCAACATAACATATTAGAAACTTCGATACAAGCCGGATTAACCAAATCAACCATATTTTTGGCAGAGCTTACAGAGCATATACATGTAGAATGTAATCTAATATTACGTTTTAGGTGTATAAATGTGTAAGAAAGTACGTTCATTGTTCTTACTATGGTGACTAAAATCTTATCAAATATACAAATTCTGAAAGCAATAAATTTACTTACGGTTATTTACCAAATGGCAGAGCGGTTTCCCAGTTTCATAAGCGTAAGGGTAGGAGTCTTTGAACATACAACCACAGAGTTCCAGTGTCTTATTGGCGTGACATTCGGAGCGACAAAGCTTGAAAACGACAAACATTGATTTTTTTCTCCCATTCAACTAATTCTGCACTAACTAACAACTATACTGGGTATATTTTCTATTGTTTTCTTAAAATTATTGGAAGCGGTAAATGAACTTAATCTTTTTTACGACCTCATGAGCAAAATATATACAAATCAATCACTGAATCGCGTATTTTATATTTTTTAGAAAGAATTAAGACTTGTTACCAAGCGTCATGGTAATATTGAATGAAGATATGCTCTGTAAAAAGCTTCATCTTAAATATTTATACACATTTCTGAATACATGCATTATTTGTTTTGAGTCTAAGCTCATAAATATTTCCAAGTTTAGGGTAGTTTTCAAGATTCAAATTGGATTACAGAAGACCCTAAGAAGACTTATGCGAATTCCATTACCTCTTTGTTCAAAATTCCTTTCCTAAAGTGTGTCCTCCCGAAGGCTTCATAGTCTGTACATTGTTCAGAATATGTTCGTACAGTTTCCTTCTATTTAGAGATATAACAAACAAAACTTACTACGTCAACAAAATATTTGTTTCACATCTAGATGGAAGTTAGACAGACACCAGATGTGATACGAAGTACTTGAAATACGATGAGAAGAAGAACAATAATGAATTCTGGGAGGGAAAACTATCAACAACAACAATATTAGTTCTTCGATACTTTTTTTTTTCTTCAGTAAAAATATTCCAATAGTCAGTTTGAATACGGTATTTTTTCTGCCGTCATAGGATCTATGTAATAGCTGGGATATGAGCATTTCATTCATAATCATCCCTATTGTACATCCAAAAATTAGTACAGAATAGATAACACAATAATTAGTAATGAATTTACATTTTAATGATTCAGTTTTTTCATCTTATTCAATGTTAAAACTATATATATTCGAAAGTCAGTACTGCGCAAGTAAGTAGGCAATAGAATATCCACTAGAATTATAAGTAAAATCTACAAGTCCTACTGCATTTTATGTGTATTTTTATATGCACGGAAACTACATACAGTCGTCTTTTGGTTGTTTGTCCCACTGTCCCGAGAAAAGTTTTCGGAGGCACAAAACGTCCCAGTTTTAGGATAAAGACATCAAACTGTCAGTCACAACGAATCACGAGTGTAATAGGCCTACTTGACTTGCTCATCGCTGTAACACGTACTCTCCTACCGCTAAACTCTCTCGAAAGTTCCGTTTGTGATACAAATATTGACGTTTATTCTTATAGATTTTGTGGAGACGAATCGAACCAGGAACAAACCACTACAATATATAGACATCAGCATATGGATACCTACCAGAAGTAGATATTAGAGAATTTTCTGTTAGTCTTAGGGTGACCAAATTTCCAAACCGAAAAGCCGGGATAGCCCCTAATTTCAAAATGGTTATTACAAATTTGATATAAATTAATTTTAATTTAACTTACTTTAGATTTTTTGAACTGTCTCACAATGTTTCCAAATATATTAATATTGGCGTTGTGTTTGAAATAATGTCAACTACTTTTTTGGTAATAGACGTACATTCACCAACTGTTATAAATCCACTATAGTACCACTAACTAAAAAACCTGTACATATCTGGATTTCTCACCGCGATGTGTGTGTGTGTGTCTGTTCCTTATACGTTTCCACATTTCTTGATCAATCAGCGACATCCATCTAATTTCATATTGATAGAATTCTTGAAAATATTATGTCTTTCTTTTCAGTATTGGTACCGTTATGTATCTTTCTTGTATTTGTAATGTTTATTATGTTAAGAAACAAAATAGAAGCACAATTTCCTATCCTTTGTTACAAATGAGGTTATATTTCACCTGGTCTAACGGACGGGTACTCCAACTAGTAACACATAACTTTTTTAACCTCCAAAAGTGTAATTTCTTTATTTTATCACCTTCTCATTTTTCTATTGTTTTTGTTTCCAACTTATATATACATATACAATGTTGTTTTAAGCTTAATTTATTGTTCTTTTAAATTGTAATTTATTTTAAAGTATAAAATTCATTAAAACTGCAGCAACACCATTTTCTTTTTAAAACAGTAGAGGGCGGTTTCGTACCTGTGAAATTATAAACCAGTAACTGGTGCCTCTATCTAATAAATATGCATCTTCCATAGTTGGTGCTGTGTTGACTGGCCCAAACTTCTGTAGGTGCTGGTTCTTTTTGTCGTAGTAGAAGTCAGGATTCAAATGATACAAAAGTCGTAATGCTTTTTCTACACACGTAAAAAAACGCAAAAGTTATACCTTATCCACAGTTTAGTAAAAAACAGTTAACTTTGCTTATTTAGTTACCAGCTCACAATTATATACTGCTCTCAAAGTAATCGCAATACAACAGATAAATATAAAAAATGGGGGGGGGAGTCATTTCACTAACTTTCATGACATGTGATGGTTTAATAATTACATATTTCAAATCATATATATGTAAAATAGCATAGCATATTCAAGACACATTTTGTCTTCCACAAGTCTGCCTAGAAGGGTTTTCATTCAATACCAGAACTTGTCCGTTGGGTGGTGGCGCGAAGTTCAACCCTAATTTCTACTAAATATACGTGAACTGTTGATGAGTTAGCACATTTCAACCGTAACAACTATGGAAGAGCCAGGGATTTATGAGGACATGGGATTTCGACTTTGTATTTTGTATTTATTAAAAATAGTAATTCCCCGTAAACACAATACATTAACTAGACGTTTTACATTAAGGCTTCGGCGAGACGGCTACCTCTCCCAAACCAAGTAGCACCACTGGTTTCATTGGCATAGATACATATTACTAAGCTTATAAGCAAAGCAGAAAACTTTGTATCTCTGAATATTTAAAAAAGTAGATAAAGATTGGCTTGGAATATAAAACAATACTAAATAAGCATGTGGAGTCACATGAACTATTAATAATTTGTTTTGAGAAAAAGAAAAGCGACCCTAGATGTAATATGTTAGAAAGCATGAGGGGCAGATGATATCTTTTTTTGCGTTTGGTTCATGAAATGTTATTTTATTCGATTGGTAATAGTTCTTCAATAATCGTACATACCCTTGTCACTATCTCAGCCCTCCAGTGGCTCAGCGGTATGTCTGCGGACTTACAACGCTAGAATCCTGGTTTCGATGCCCGTTGTGGGCAGAGCACAGATAGCCCATTGTGTATCTTTGTGCTTAATTACAAACAAACAAACACTATCTCAATAATAAATATCCATCGATACGTTTTGAAACTTCTACTTCAGTTACGTATCTCTTCCTTGTTATGATAAGCTGTTATTCTTTACAGCGCAAAGCTACACAGTGGACTATCTGCTTTGTCCGTTACGAAAAGTCCAAACACAGAATTTAGCGTCATAAGCTCCTGATCCTCCAGCTACTAGACATTTACTAAAGTGAACAATGTTCTTGAATTCGAACTCATGGTAGACATCTTATTATAACCGGTAAGTTTAAACAGTTAGCTGGCTTGATTACTGCAATTTTTTGTATATTAACTGGAAACTGTCTGACCATGTACAGGGACCATTTTGTTTTAAGATTTTTGCCAGAAGGATAAAAACACCTCAGCTAGTATAATATAAACTACAATGTGGTCCTCCAATTATTCTATAAATTGTTGTTATTGTTTTACCGCAAAACTAAACAATTGGTTATCTGTGCTCTGTCCATCGAGGGGAATCGAAACTCGGAATAGCTTGTAAGTCCGTGGACTTTCCATTTTTTACATTTTGTAATTGCCTTGCCCACGCAATTCTTTTATTGTGAAAAGGTAACAGCTCATTATTTTGTACAATGTTTGTGTAACTATACCAATTTTTAAGATGTACATTCAAATCTTAATATAAAGATGATCCATTGTGTGCGTTAACTATCACTACCCTGGCGGAAACCCGATGAGGGTCTGTTGACAGAAATTATTTTGATTTGACGAGCTTTCCACCATTATTATATTTTCTCTTTCCTTTTAACAGTCACGATTTTCAAACATTTTCATGTCATGTAGTAAATGAAATATTATGTAAGTAGGCTACAGAATTTAAATTCTGGATAAAACCAACCAGATAACTTGTACAATAATTTGATTCCTACATTACATAAAAATGCAAATATAAATTGTACAAAGAAGGAAAACAATTAAAAACAAACAAACAGAAACTGTTGAAGTTTATCAACCGTTTATCTTTAACAGAACTATACAAATAAAAGTCGCATCTTAAGATTGTACTGTATAGATATAAAGTAAGTTAGGTCGCTATCATATGCTATCAAAAAGTTCATAAACCGAAGGTTATTTGTAAGTAGCAGGAAAGAAACAATTATATTAAATACCTAACTATTTTTATATTTGATGCTTGCCACTTAACTTTATATATACTAAAAACTAGGCATGATATAGAATATAAAATAATTAATACAGACCAGATTGTATAGGTGTCCTGTGAACAGTTGCAAAATTATCCCAGTCTATGTTGAAACTCAAGCAGTTGCCGTAATGAGAATCGTAGTACTCAGAAAACGGACTGAAACATACATTTTGATTGTATTAGCGTAAGATGTTCATGACTATATTTACACATTATTGTTAGTATTTATAATTTACATTCACCAAAGAGGCGATTGGTTGCTTCTCTTATTTTTCATATTTCCGAATTAGACAGTTATTCTTGAATCATAAAGGTTCGTGTCCTGGCTAGATATATCATTTTGTGCATAAGGTGTTGTTCAAATGAACAAACGTTACCATTAGAAACAATCTGCGCTTCATCGTAACTCTATGAAAACGTGCAGCGATTCAAATTCACAGCACTGAAAGCATACTACCAACAAGTAGTACAATCAAACAATGAGAAACAAAATACGTCTCATACACCTAGCCTCTCAATGACACGGCAGTAAGTCTGAAGTGTTATAACGCTATAATCCGGGTTTCGATACCCGTGCTAGCTAATTGTGTAGAAATTCAAACTCATATACTTCAACATTTTAAGTTTTATAAGCTATATCAAATAGTTTATAATTTATAATAACAGCCTTAAGAATTTACTGATCCTAATGTTGCACTTAAAATGAATTACACG